CAAGCAACACCAGCTACGTGACGGCGCGGCATGACGTGCAGTACTTCCCCAGCTCGCTGAGCTCCTTCTACCCCACAACCTCTAGGGTCTGCCGCATCCCGCTCACCAGCGGCACGTCCTTCATCGACCCCGAGTCCATCAAGATCGCCTTCCGCGTCAGGAACACGGACGGCACCAACCCGCTGGCCCCGGCCACGCCCAACCCGCCTGCTTCGTCCAGCGCGTCCAGGTCTTCGCCAACGGCCAGCGCTGCGACGACATCAACTACTACGGGCGCACCGTGGCCGTGCACGACCTGCTGAAGGGCAGAGAGTACAACCGCAGCAAGGCCATGGAGGGTTTCGACGAAGTGAACGACCCGCGCATCGCCCGCGCGGTGCACCAGGGCGGCTACGCGGACGTGCTGCTGCGCCCCACCATGGTGGGCATCCTGCGCTGCGGGAAGATGCTGCCGCCGCAGCTGAACCTGGTGATAGAAATTGAGTTTGCGGACGCCACGACTGCGCTGTGGTCCGAGAACGGGGCGCACCCGGCGGGGGCCACGCTGAGCACCGACTTTGAGATCCAGAACGTCCGAGTTCTGGCCTCCCAGGTTGTCCTGGACTCTGCGCTGGTAGAGTCCTTCAACCGGGTGCTGCTCTCACAAAGGTCCCTGGTGTTCAGCTACCCCACGGTGCACACGCAGCGTCCCGAACGGCGTGGCGGAGCACAACGTCACCGTGGCGCGCGCCTTCACGAAACTCATGGGCGCGTTTGTGACCTTTTGGGACAACGACGCGGGCTCCAAGATCCACTTGCTGGCCAACCCGGGGCAGGACGTGGCCCCCATCGGCGCGGCGAGGAGGACAGCCTCCTGGAGTCGCAGATGCAGCTGGGCAGCCTGCAGTACCCTCACAACCCCATGAAGGGAGCCTCGGAGCACTTCCACTTCCTCCGTCCTTGCGGGCACCTACGACGACACAGTGCGCAACATCGACATCGGCCGCGCGGGCTACCTGCGCCACAGCTTCATTGCCGGCTTTCCCACCGAGCGCGTGCCCAAGATGCCGCTGAGTGGTGTCAGCACCCGCTCGGGCGACCTTGCCGGTTCACCTTCAAGGGCCTGGACGGCACGATGACGGACCTGTTCATTCATTTGGTGGCCTACCAGCTGGTGACGCTCTCCGGCACGGGCGTTTCCGTGCTTGACTAAGGCCCGGTGTCGCTCTTCACCATTTTTGATGTTCAGTGGCACCGCTTTTGAAGTTGAGCAAAAACGGCAAAAAAAAGGCCCGGTGTCCCTCTTCATCATTTTTGATGAAGCGTGACACCGCTTTTGAGTGCGCCCAAAAACGAGAAAAAAGGCGGGGTGCCCATCGACAACATGATCGTCTTCCAGAAGCCGAGCTTGAGAGCCAGCTGCAGCGCGCCGTCAAGGTGAGCGCCAAGCACGTGAAGTGCAAGATGGACTTGGAGCGCTGCCTCTTCTGGGGCCCCGCCGGCAACCGCGTGCCGCGCCCCGCGGACTGCAGGGGCCCCGCGCTTGTGGAGGCCCGGCACGTGTGGCTGATGGCCAGGCAGTGGGGCGTGCTCTTCGAGGTGCGCCACCTCATGCTGGAGCCCCTGGAGGCGCCGTGCTGCCCGTTCTAGACCTCCAGCAGCTCGGCGTGGCTCGTAAGGCGCCCACGTACAGGTGGCGCAGGACCCCAGGTCCAGGCGGACGCGGTTGTGGAGGGTGAGCCCCTGGCAGCTGGCGTAGGTGCGTGGCTCGGCCGGTGGCCCGCAGCAGCTCCTGGTTCTTCAGCCGCATGCCGTTGTCCAGCCTCACTCCGTCCGGCTCCACTTCCGCCACGGCCACAAAGACGCCCTTGGGTATCTTTCCGCCGGCCCCAATGAGGCGCAGCCGGCCACACCCTCATGCTCTGGGGCTGTTCTGTGTTTGACTACACCTATTTTGGGTCGTTACCGATTCGTAACAACCATGTGGATGACTTCCAATATTGGAGCAGCTTTGAGGCCTCCGGCGCCAGGGCTGCGTTCACGGCCATGCGCTTGCTGTGGCTGATGACCAGCGTGGTGTCCGGCCACCCGGGCTTGGAGGAGTAGAGCTCCCTCAGCCTCGCCTTGGCCTGCTCCAGCGTGGGGCACGCCTCCTCGCCGACCCACAGCCACATGTTCCGCTGGGCCTGCCAGGCTTCCACCTCGTCCAGCCGGGCCTGGAAACCCTTGCACACCCCCCACAGCACGCTGGTGAGGTGAGAGTAGTCGAGCAAATTCTTCCACTTTGTTCCTGCGAAGTCGTCCGAGGCGAAGCCCAGCCTCAGGTCCCCGTTCATGTCCGGGCGCTTGTACTGCTTGGCCTCCACGGAGTCGAAGAGCTGCAGCAGCTCTGCCACGTCGGCCAAGTCCGTGAAGCTCGTGTTGCAGACCACGTTGCCCGTGTTGCCCGCGATCCGTGAGCTCGTGCCTGTGCCCGCCGGCCAGGTTGCGGATGAGTTGGCTGTGCTCCAAAGGCGCGCTGATGGGCCGCCCGGCCCAGGACCCAGAATGTCTAATTAAGCTAACAATGCTTAAAGTGAATGCTTAATTAAGCGTTTTTCCTTTAATTAAACATTGTTTTTTGTTTTTTGAAGCAAAAATGCTTTAGGAAGCATTGTTTTGTGCTTAATTAAGCATTGTAGTTTTTATTTAAGCATTGTTCGCTTAATTAAGCATTGTTGTTTTTGCAAAAAACAATGCTTAAATAGAGAGCTTGATTTTCTATGGTTCATGGATTTCACAGACATGTCTCGAATTTTACTCCAAGATTGCAAAAATATTTTTGCTTGAACGCTGATCTTTGTTTTGCTGAACGTCAAAGGTTTTTTTAACTTGGGGACGATGGACGTGTTGTTTTTTTTCCGCAGATTGTTGTTGTTTCTTTTTTTCAAGCATGTTTTTTGAGTATGTGCAGCGGCGTGCATGTGCCTGCGTAAAGGCAGCAGACGCAGTTGGACCGAGCCCTTGCATGGCTGCAAACATGCCGCCTCCTCGAGCCAGAAACACGGCTAGTGCCAAAGACTTGGTGAAGTGCTTCAGATCTCACTTCAAAGACCTGGACCCGGCAGCTTTCAGAAAGGATGTGGAGGAGGTTATAGCACAGTATGAGGGCTTGCTGGCAGACATCATGGATGAGACAGTTCGGCCTTCAGAGTCTGTGCTGAGGGACGGCTTGGTCAGATCTTATGACGTCAGTGGCAAGGGTGCTCGCGCAGTGGCAAGGGACATATCTGCCTGCTTCAAGCATTTGAGGAGCAAGCTGCAGTCCAGCAGTTCCGGGAAGAAGCTCACGCCCAGTGTGTGGAGGCTTGTGTCGAAGCTCAAGCAGCTTACAGGGCAAGGCACTCCGCAGAAAGCCATGGATCCCATGAAAGAACGCGAGCCCGTCGAGACACCTGGCGCAGCACAGGCTCTTCCTGCAGGTGACCCTGCACCCTTTAAGCCAAGCAGAAGATACCGTTTCAAAAGGAAGGCTACAGCTTCGTGCGATGTTTTCAGCATGTATGGTCTTCCAGCCACTGCCAGTAATGCATCAGTTGACGATGAGGCAGCTGCAGAGGCCTCTGACGTGGGAGAGGCAGACCAGGTGGACTCAGATTGAGATGTTTTGGTTGTGAAAAACTCGGAGGAAGAGGATCTCCAGGCAGCTGCTGCAATCCCTTTGGCAAAAGCGTACTTTGACCCCAGCCAGGGCTGCTATGTCAAAGCCTTGGAAGGAGGCAAGTGCATTCATGGCGAGTTGAAGGAAGGAGCAGCTGGGTTTTGCGTGGTTCACTTCCCAGACGAAGAGCCATTTGAGAGCCAAGTCCCGAATCTATGGCTGTCGAGTCGCAAAAGCGCGCCGGCTTTCAAGTTCTCCAAGCGCGGCAAGGCCGCCTTCGGAAAGGCCAAGAAGAAGGCGAAGCGAGCCGCAGAGCCTGCTGGAAAGGAGGCAGAGGCTACTGTGGGATCCAGCGAGTCCGGCGAGAGCAACCAGGAGTTGCTAGCAGCCGCGCCTCTGGAGCTGGAGTCTTGGAACGGGTACCCTCTAGCTGGTATGCCGCAGGAGGCGCTGCCGCCTCCCGGATGCTCAGGCCTGCACTCCTACACCGTGAAGGCTCTGATCCTTGGCACTAGTGTGAGTATAGATGTTCTCATGCGAGGCAAGGCCTTTTATATAAAAAGACCAGAAATCTGCAAGGGGCAGCACAGTAGGTCGAAGCACAGCAGCATCACGGAGTGCTGGGTTCAGTGCCTTGAAAAAATCAAGGACACGCTAAGGGACGAGAAGGACGCTGTGCCAAATTTGGAGTGAACGTATTGCATTTGAACAAACCAACTGGATCGCTTAAAAAGGCCTGCCCCATCTCACCATGCCGCTTTTGGATTTGCATGACGTTTTGAGCAGCATGAATTGTTTGCAAGATTTTTTGGGGTTTGTTGAGTTGCATGACCTTGTGTGTTTGTGCGTTGCATGAGCGTTTGGACCGCAGCCATTTTTATGTGCGCACCCTTTCAGGACTTTGCTGGCAAGCATGCATGTATATGCAGTTGTTGATGTCACTTGTGCCTTGCGCATGGTGCAGGCCTCCTTGGCAGGAGGGTATAGCTTGATCTCTTTTGCGCAGGCCGCGCCGCGTCGAAGGTTGCCAGATCTTCTTGTGCATGGCCAGGACTGATCCTTCAGGAAGTTTCTTTGTGAAGGCCATCCTCCTTGGCAGGAGGAATTCAATGTTGAAGTGCAGTTGCCGCGCATGCACGCGCGCCCTGACTTAGTCTGCAGGTGATGATGCCAGCATCTGCCGGCCCAAAGTCTCCTTGGAGGAGACAGGGTTGCGCACGAGCTCTTTGTTCATTGCTTTGTTCTGAGATGTTTTGGCCGTGTTGCTTGCGTGACAAATGTGCGCTTGTTGGCAGATATGTTTGAGCTCAAGTGGCTATGATGACAGGCATGTCAGAACATGATTGCATGATATGGTCACAGTCAGGCAGCTTGCATAATCATGGCTGGCAGTAGCAAGAGCGGCTATGGCAAAGAGTGGAAAGGCCCGATCCGGGCTTGGAAGGGGTCTGATTGGGGCAACGAGGCCTTGCTCCTCAGGTTTTGCAAGGCTTGCAAGACGAAATCGTATCTCAGAGGATCGCTATGCGCGAATTTGTTGTGCAGCCAGTACTACATGCACCAACAGCCATCCTTGGCAATGTGGAAGAAAGGAGTGAGTGAAGAATGTTGGTCGCCGCAGTCCTGGCGTCAGAGCGGATTCAGTGATGCGGTTTACCAGAGGCACCTCACAGAGGAGTGGGCCCAGATGGAGGAGGAAGAGCACGAAGATTCGGACGAGATGGAAAAAGTTGTCATCGAAGAGGTGGCCAGCAGTGAGGAAGAGACAGCTGCTTGGAAGAAGCAGCAAGAGGTGCCTGCGGAGGAAGATGATGCGGCCCGGGCAGGGTACCAGTGGGCAGTGAAGGAAAAAAAGGCAGCCGAGCTTTTGAGCGCCAGCATTAAGATGGAGAAAAGTGCCGATGTCCCTTTGGAGACAAAATCCTACTATGCGAAGTGGGCTTTGCAGGAGGCCCAAGGAAGGGACGAAGCTCAGGAGAAAGCAAAAATGCTTGGGAAATCCGCGGAGGATTTCAAAGAGCTGGCAACTCTGCACCCTTGGCGCGCTGGTGGAAAGGAGCGCCAGCAAGAAAAAAAGAATGAGAATGAGAAGAATGAGAATGAGAAGAATGAGAATGAAAAGAATGAGAATGAAAAGAATGAGAATGAAAAGAATGAGAAGCATGAGCAGCCGGCGGTGGTGGCCACTCAGCAGGATGCGTTTGAAAGCTGGCAAAGATCCTACTGGGGGACAGGTGCTTGGGCGCGCGACCACGGCTGGGAGGAAGAGCCCGCGAAGGGTAAAAAAAATAAGGGACGGAAGCGAAAAGCGTGGTTGGAGGCTCAGATCGATTCTTTGAAGGTGAATGGAAGGTGGGTTGGGCCTGGCCATCCCAGCGCAGTGGCAAAGGCCATCCGGCTGGCCAAGGACTGCCTTACGCCTTGGTACAGATTGCCTGAGAACATTGTACCATCGCCAAGTCTCCTGAGTAGTTTGCAGCAAAGCCTGCCCAATGCTGGAGATAATTTTGGGCCAGGTAGAAACGAACTAGAAGATCTCAGAAGGATGTACGGTTTCAGAGGCTGAGCTTGGCATTGGAGTGTGCCAAAACAAAAAGGCTCGGGCGCATAGTTTGAGTATCAATCAAGTCAGCTGCCAAAGCTTCAGCTGGCAAGAAAGTCAAAAAGGAAGTGAGAACAACGCCCAAGGCAAAGCCGAAGCGTGTCAACAAGGAGCCTGTTTTGGAGACTGCTGGCGATGCCTCGGCCTCAGACCAGGCTGCCAAAAGGGAAGATGGCCAGGCGCCCATGGAGCATGATGGGTCTGGGGCCCCACCAAGCCAGCTGGGCTACGCCAGAACACAGTGAGCGCGCTTCTCACTTCGCTAAAATACCAAGTGAAGGCAAAGAAAACCAGTGACTCCCAGAAGGATGACGCACAGAAGGTGTTGCAGGACCGCCGCACGCATGTTTGAGTTTGTAGCGGGCTTCTTGGCCAGCTACTTAACTGACAGCTTGATCTCCTTGGTAGGAGTACGAAGCGGGCACCATTGAGGAGAAGAAGTTGATTCTGGACAAACTGCAAGAATTCGGAGTGAAGAATTGCAGCTGGGTCCACAGCCTGGAGTCCCTGACATCTAACATTAAGGACGAGACTGAGTCCTTGGTCACCAACTTCTTCACCAGGTTGTTTGGCTTAGTAGTGGCTTTTGTTTTTCTCTTCTGCAGTTTCATGGCTTGCTAGCAGCATTCTGGGATTGCGCCAACGCGGCTGAGGCAAGGGATCTTCGAAATCGAGCATATTGACACAGCCGGCCTGTCAGAAAATGACAAGGATGAGATTTTGGAGGAGATCCTCTCCAAATCTGAGAAGAACTTTGGCCACTCGAGGCAGGTGCAAGACCACTCAAAGTTCAAGCAGTTGCACAAGTACCTTTTTGTTTACACCAAGGGCAAGAAGAACACTGAGAGCACAAGGACAAGCAGCAGCATGTCAAGCACTGCTGCGGGCATGAAGGGCAAGGCAAGCCAAAAGATGGCTTTGGACTTGCTGGGCCGACCAGAGTTGGCCAGTTCTTCTGCAGCTGAGCATGGCATGTCTGCGTCTTTGTCTGAGGCCAAGTCTGAGTCAAAGAGCCTGCAAGCTGCGAGGGTTCGCCTCAGCAAGCTGTTGGAGGACTTAAATCTCCTGACAGCAGAGATCGCTGGCCTGAAGGATAACAGCTGGGGCAAAAAGCTAGGAGAGTTGGAGAACGCTGACCAGCAGTTGTCTGGCTTTTTGTCAGAGGTGAGGATGCAGCTGGCCGTTCCCTTTCCAACCGACAAGCAGCAGGAGGTGCCAGATCTGCTTGCCCAGCTGAAGGAATTGAATGAGAAGGCAAGCATGCACGAGAAGGCAGTGAAGCTGATCTACAAAACAAGCAAGAGTTTGCTCTCCTGAGAAGATATAGTACAGGAGCCACGCCTGTGGATTTTGTTTGCAGGCTTGTCCTAGAGATGGACGAAAAAGCAGCAGATCGAGTCATTGAGATGCTTCGCGCATGTGTCTGCATGTCTCTTATATTTTCTTGGCCGGTTGGCTCAAGCTGTAGTTTGAAGTTGGCCCACAATCACTGCAGTCACAGTTCAAAATAAGATAAAGCAAAGCTAAATCTCTTAAGCGCTCGCCTCTAAAGCGCCATAACTTTCAAGTGTGCACTTGTTTGGTAGGGCAAGGCAGAAGAGCCTCCTTGTTGGAGGAGATGTACAACAAAAGGACACTGCCATGCGAGGAAGTGAATGACATTCCTCCGGAGAAAAGGTTTCGAGCAGACGTGATTGACATTTTCTTAAACAATGACCTATCTGGACAAAGGTCAGCCAGAGTATTAGGCAACGCTTCCTTGGCTGGAACGCAGCACATCGAAGATTCGCAGGTGGCGCCAGGCAAGAATGCTTACAGAAATTTGCTGCGAAAGTGTTTTCGAAACACAAAATGGCCTGCGCCGTATGAGCTGCAAGTCACAGCCTTCAATGAGGCTACGGACGCAGAGGAGAAATCCAAGCTGTGCATGCTGATGCCGCATGAAGTGGTTCACGCGCTGTTGAAGGTGAATGACCCTCGCGTCTTGCTGGAGCACCAACGGGCAATCTTGGCTGAACGGCCCGACCTGGAGCAGCATTTAGCAAATTTCGACTTGGCCAAGGATGATAAGGTGCTGCTCTTGGGGCTATGGATCGATGGAGTCCCATTCAATTCTGACAGATCGCAGACTCTGGAGACCATTACACGGTGCTGGTGCGGAGAAAAGGGCTGGAGAGTGCCCTTGTGTGCTTTTCCGAAGGCGATGCGAGCTAAGGGAAAGACATATGAGTGCATTTTTGAGGCATTGGCTTGGAGCTTCAGGATCTTATTAGTAGACAAAATGCCTCACCAGAGGCACACGCAGCAGGAATTCAACAAGAGTGATGCCTATAGCAAAAAGTGGCAGGCAAACCAGTGGGAGTGTGCGCAGCTCTGGCAGAGATGAGAGGAGACTGGTCAATGTACAAGGAGGTACTAGATTTTCCAAGCTGGTCTGCCAAGGGGCATATCTGCTGGCTTTGCAACGCCACCAAGACTGACTTGAAAGATTTCAGCAACGCAACATTTGAGAAGTGTCTTGTCTGAGATTGTTAGATAAGGGCTTATAAAATTTGTGGTTCATTCGTATAGGCATGACGCAGCCCTAGCAGGCTAGCCTGCTCTTAAGAATTCTTGCGCTGGCTTTCGTCTGCTCAGGTATCCTTTGATTTCGGCGATGGATTTCTTCTTGAGGCAGCAGCAGTCTGGAAAACTGATTTCAGCTCTCTTTTCAGTTCCTGGCTTCACTACTCAGAGCTGCAAGGTGGATTTCCTTCACTGCTGCGACTTGGGGGTGACGGCTGACTGGCATGGCTGCTTGCTTTTTTACATTCAGCAGCAGAAGATCGCAGGAGTTTCCATGCGCGTCAGATGCGCCAAGCTGTTTCGTGATATTCAGCAGTTCTACAAAGACAACAAGGTTCAAGACAGGTTGCCAAAGCTTCTCCCAACCATGTTGAGACGCGAAGTCAAGGGAAAGAAGAAAGTTCCAAAGCTTCGAGTCAAAGCAGGAGAGAGCAGAGCTTTGGTGCCGTGCTGTTTGCAGCTGGCCACTCAATACATGGACGCAAGCATACCTCATGAGTCAGCTATGCTGCAGGGTTGCAAGCACTTGCAAGCTATGTACGCTTGCTTGAGTGCGGCGAACTGGGACGCTGACAAATTCCTACGAGCAGCGCAGAAGTTTCTGTTGCTCATGCGCACCTTGGAAAGTTTCTTTGGGGAAGATATTTTGTTTCGAGTGAAGCCCAAAGGGCACTTACTTCTGGAGCTGGCTAGGTCCAGAACCAATCCTGCGCACACTTGGACATATCGAGATGAGTCGTTTGGCCACACATTGGCATTGCTGGCCAGACGAAGAGGAGGAAAGTTTTCCATGGCAGCAGTTTCCAAAGCGACATTGCTGAGATTTCTTGCTGCCAACAAGGTGCCTAGACTGGACATGTGAAGTATATAGCGCAGGGCAGCGAGCTTCAGAGGTTCTTGCTAGCAATATACAAAGCAGAAAACGGTGTAAAATGAAATTATGAAAAAAAAGCGCATTCCAATAACAGAACCAAAAAACCCCTCAGAAGCAACATATGCTTTTATTGGTTGCTCGGGAAAATGAGATGAATATCGAGTCTGCTCATGTTTCTTTGTTTTTTTGTTCATAAAAATCCGTAAAGTTAAATAGCCACCTTTTGGAGGCTCGGGGAGTCCAGCACGGCCGGCAGCTGCCGGAAGTCTCCCAGCAGCAGGAACTTCACGGCGGCGTTCAGCCCCACGCAGGCCAGGTCCGCCCAGAGCGCCATGTCCAGCTGCGTGATCTCCTCCACCACCAGCCAGTCCAGCTTTTGCGCGCTGCCCCCGCGCACGTACCTGCGCACCCAGTAGTCGGCCGTCTGCGCCCCCAGGCCCAGGTTCTGCGCGGAGCAGTGCGTCTTGGACACCAGGTGCACCGCCTCGCCCTGCTCTCGCAGCCTCGCCACAATCGTCCGGGCCAGGTGCGTCTTTCCGGTGCCCGGCAGGCCTGTGAGCAGCAGGGAGTTGCCCGCCAGGCAGTGGCTTATAGGGTCGTCCACCCCGTTCCACCTCCGTTGTTTGGGCCGCTCCGCCTCCATGCACGGCGCCCGGCTGCTGCCCAGCAACGGCTTCGTCTCTTCTACGCGGTAGACCGGCGTGCCGTCTGGGTGGCACAGCGCCTCCAGCGCCCGCAGCCGCTCCGTGAAGCGTCAGCAGGCAGTCCGTCTTCACCTGCGCCAGGTAGCGCGGCGGCGTCCAGGATGCGCCGGGCCTTGGCCACCATGCAGTGCTCAAAGCCCAGGACCGCGTCGTGGATGGGGCGGTAGGTGCCGTTGCTCAGCAGCCTCCGCGCGTAGACGAAGTCCCACACCATGCCCCCCTCGTAGGCGAAGGCCTAGAGAGAAGTCCGCGCCCGCGCCGTCCAGCTCGCTGCTGCTGCTGCGCACGCTGTAGACCACCTCCGTGCTGCGCGCCCACAGGCCTATCATCGCGTTCACGCTGAGCTTGGCCATGTGCTCCTCGCCCTCGGGCCAGGCAGCGTCCATCCCAGAGCTTCCAAAAGTAGTTAAATAATTTAACAATGTCTAATTAAGCTAACAATGCTTAAAGTGAATGCTTAATTAAGCGTTTTTCCTTTAATTAAACATTGTTTTTTGTTTTTTGAAGCAAAAATGCTTTAGGAAGCATTGTTTTGTGCTTAATTAAGCATTGTAGTTTTTATTTAAGCATTGTTCGCTTAATTAAGCATTGTTGTTTTTGCAAAAAACAATGCTTAAATAGAGAGCTTGATTTTCTATGGTTCATGGACTTCACAGACATGTCTCGAATTTTACTCCAAGATTGCAAATATATTTTTGCTTGAACGCTGATCTTTGTTTTGCTGAACGTCAAAGGTTTTTTTAACTTGGGGGACGATGGACGTGTTGTTTTTTTCCGCAGATTGTTGTTGTTTCTTTTTTTCAAGCATGTTTTTTGAGTATGTGCAGCGGCGTGCATGTGCCTGCGTAAAGGCAGCAGACGCAGTTGGACCGAGCCCTTGCATGGCTGCAAACATGCCGCCTCCTCGAGCTAGAAACACGGCTAGTGCCAAAGACTTGGTGAAGTGCTTCAGATCTCACTTCAAAGACCTGGACCCGGCAGCTTTCAGAAAGGATGTGGAGGAGGTTATAGCACAGTATGAGGGCTTGCTGGCAGACATCATGGATGAGACAGTTCGGCCTTCAGAGTCTGTGCTGAGGGACGGCTTGGTCAGATCTTATGACGTCAGTGGCTAGGATGCTCGCGCAGTGGCAAGGGACATATCTGCTTGCTTCAAGCATTTGAGGAGCAAGCTGCAGTCCAGCAGTTCCGGGAAGAAGCTCACGCCCAGTGTGTGGAGGCTTGTGTCGAAGCTCAAGCAGCTTACAGGGCAAGGCACTCCGCAGAAAGCCATGGATCCCATGAAAGAACGCGAGCCCGTCGAGACACCTGGCGCAGCACAGGCTCTTCCTGCAGGTGACCCTGCACCCTTTAAGCCAAGCAGAAGATACCGTTTCAAAAGGAAGGCTACAGCTTCGTGCGATGTTTTCAGCATGTGTGGTCTTCCAGCCACTGCCAGTAATGCATCAGTTGACGATGAGGCAGCTGCAGAGGCCTCTGACGTGGGAGAGGCAGACCAGGTGGACTCAGATTCAGATGTTTTGGTTGTGAAAGACTCGGAGGAAGAGGATCTCCAGGCAGCTGCTGCATCCCTTTGGCAAAAGCGTACTTTGACCCCAGCCAGGGCTGCTATGTCAAAGCCTTGGAAGGAGGCAAGTGCATTCATGGCGAGTTGAAGGAAGGAGCAGCTGGGTTTTGCATGGTTCACTTCCCAGACGAAGAGCCGTTTGAGAGCCAAGTCCCGAATCTATGGCTGTCGAGTCGCAAAAGCGCGCCGGCTTTCAAGTTCTCCAAGCGCGGCAAGGCCGCCTTCGGAAAGGCCAAGAAGAAGGCGAAGCGAGCCGCAGAGCCTGCTGGAAAGGAGGCAGAGGCTACTGTGGGATCCAGCGAGTCCGGCGAGAGCAACCAGGAGTTGCTAGCAGCCGCGCCTCTGGAGCTGGAGTCTTGGAACGGGTACCCTCTAGCTGGTATGCCGCAGGAGGCGCTGCCGCCTCCCGGATGCTCAGGCCTGCACTCCTACACCGTGAAGGCTCTGATCCTTGGCAGAAGCCTTTTATATAAAAAGACCAGAAATCTGCAAGGGGCAGCACAGTTGGTCGAAGCACAGCAGCATCACGGAGTGCTGGGTTCAGTGCCTTGAAAAAATCAAGGACACGCTAAGGGACGAGAAGGACGCTGTGCCAAATTTGGAGTGA